CAGCTGCATTGCTGTAATTTGCCAATAGGATGTATTACATCCTGATTACAGTTTCTGCTGAGTGATAGGCTGGAATTACAAGGCAGAAATGTGGCTAATCATGATAAAGGAGATAAGTCTATTCATCTACTGCCCGCATTCAATATTTGCAGAACAGATGCTGTTTGTTCCCCTTCGGCTGCATTTACATGGAAATGTGCTTTCATTCTGAAGATGTCTTAAGGTTAATGAGAAACCTTATTGGATGTTGTGATGGGGGAGGGAGGGAGAAAGGTGAAATATCTTGGAAGGTTTCTCCTTGTCTCCCAGCCATGATAAACTTCCACAAATCAATCAGTCACTGTAAGATGAGCAAAAGGAGCTACTCCAGGCCAGAAACAGATGTCTGGGAAAGCTGAAGCGACCACGATTTTAGCAGATGGATTGTCAGCAGAGGTGCAAATCACACTAGGAAAGACTGCACCACTCCTGGGATTAAGGCCTGAGTGGGCTCTGAGTGGCCTTTTACTGCACCCATTCCCACCAAGCAATATGCAGTTTGTCATGCTGCAATTAAACCATCTCTTGAAGTGTTGTGCCTCCTTGGGCCATAAAGCCAAGCCTTAGGTGAGGACTGCATTGACACAGTGCCCCACCATACACCAGGGAGGTCCCAAAAGCCTGTGATCTGGGGCTGGAGGAGGTCTCACTTCACAGCTCAGTCAGAGAGACATTCCACTTCCCCAAGCCCATGGCTCCAGTCTGGGGAAACCTGCTGGAGCTCCCCCAGTTCCCCACCCTCAGCCCCCAGCCCCACCACAGCAGCGAGAGCTGCAGTGCCAGGAGGCAGCAGAACCACACAAGAACAGGAGCTGCTGTCCTCACACCTGGCACGGAGCTTAGAGCTCATCTATAGGTGGTGATTAAACAATGTCCCTTTTTGTGCCACCTCGCGGGGCGCTGCGCTGAGGTAGGTTCTTCCTGCCATGCAAAAAATATCTCAGGGCTCCCTTCACCCCTCTCTGCAGCTCCTGCAGTGCCATGTTGCTAAATAACGGCCAGGATTCGAGCTGGAGAGATTAGGTTGCCCCAGGGGTCCTGGGCAGAGCCTGCTTAGCAGCAGTGGTAATCTGGCATTAGGCACTCTCGGAGCCAGCAGGCTCTAAAAACACCGGCAGGGCACCCACGGGCCACTCCAGCGGGCAGGGCTCTGCCTGCTTCAGCTCTTTGCCTTCTGCCCAGGCCCACGGATGCCTGGGGTGAGAATTTGCTGCTCCCACGTTGCAGCCAGAGGTGACTTGGAGCAGCCTGGCTGCCTCCCATCCTGACAGCATGACTTCACTCCTGGCTACGGAGCCTGGTGCTCCCTGATGGCTGCCATGGCTTCCTGAATGGCTCTTGGGGGGCCACCCCTTCACCCCATCCCTTGTCACCATCTGGATAAGCCCCCCCCCCGGTTTAGGCTTGCTAAAATGAAGTCATCTGCTGCGTCTGAGTGTGTTAATGAAGAAGATTTTGGAGGGTGTTTCTGTCAGCTCTGTCGCTGCCTCCCTGCTAAAAGTGGTGCTGCCTCATAGCTGCTGCACTTGTAGCATGGAGGAACAGAAAATCCTTTGGCAGTTCCAACCAGAAAGCAGCCATTGAAATGTTTCAATCTGTTCCCTGCCAGACACGGCCCCCAGCATGTCCCCCCGAGCCCCAACATACAGCAAAGCTCCCCAGAGCTGTGTGAGGGACACCCCAGGCTCCTGTCCCACAGCCCACCAGCCCGTGAGGAGCAGCGGGTCTCAAAGCCTGATGAAAGGGCTGATAAGGCAAAGCCAGGCTTTGAATGCTGAATGGACACGAAACAGAGCACCCCACCATAGAAAAATTCCAGTAAAAATGGAAAAGATGCTCATGTCTCCTACAGTCATGAGGAGGAATGCCAGGAGAGAGCGTTATCAGCGCTGCTCTGATAAGGTGAGGACTGCCTGTGTTAGGAGGCTGACCCCCAGGCTGGGCTCTGGGGCCCTGCTACACATGGGCTGCTGTTCCTGCTTCAATTCCATGGTAAAAGGCCCTTTCCTAAAGAAGGGTACTGTGCTCCAGGAATGACAGCATGGTCTGGTTTATACTAATCTTTCTGAAACACACTGAGACCTCCTGATGGGAAGTATTAGAGAAAACACAACTATTCTTCATTCTTTCTTTGTCTCCACCACGCTGGGTGCAGAATACAGGACATAGTAGAGTCTCTAATGTGTCTGATCAGAGCATCAGGCACTTTCAGACACTCAGCTACACTGGTGTGCTGTGAAGGATGGTACTGAGGAGGTCTGGAGTCTTAAAACAGAGCCAGTTTATGGCGTGCTACTGTGATATTCCAAGCACGAGATCCCAAACACACCACAAATAACCAGTCAGACTCTTTCACTCTCCATGTCCCAGTCTGTCTTCTGCTCAATTGCTGTCGATTGTTTCTTGTGTTGTTAATTATTAAGCAGGAAGGATAATGCAAGCAAACACAGGGGGGTAAACACCTCTCCAGCCAAGCACCAGCAGACCCCAGAGAGGAGTTTTAGCCTGCAGAGCAGCCGATGAGTTACACCAGGCACGTAGCGTCCCTGTGACAAGCCAAGCTGCTCCTCTTACAGACAAGGGTTTACATAACACAAGTCAAGTCACTCTCTTGAGCAAAATTAAGACCATTTGGTAATGCTGAAGTATAATCAACATTTTAAAAACAAAGCCATTTAATGTCTAATTCAGCTTACTCTTACAGGAGCGATGAGAGGGAGGGAAGCGTGGAATTCTTGAGACACGTTTTGCCCCAACCACTCCTTGGCAGCCACCTGGGATGTGCATTCAGCTGCATGGCCTGGGGTCGGGGCTGGGTGTGTTCCCAAGACATTCTTGGTGACAAAGATAATCTGTTTGACTGAGGGTTTGACAAGCACGGGCTTGATTAATTTGGCTGTTGTTACAGGAACAGGACCATACAAACAAGGGCTCCCCTGTGGGTTTTTCAGAACCAACCCAACTGTGCTCCAGTGAAGCCAGAGACAGTCCATCAGCAATGCTTTTGTACATCTCATCCTGTTTTTTTCCCCACAAAGTTCTTCAGAGCATTAGCAAGATGGTATCACTAGGTAGCCTGCCTGAGAAGATGAAATTGAGGCTGGGAACAAAACAAACCCCCACTAATTCTCTGTTATTAGTATCATTCATTAGGCTATTTTTTTCCATAAGGATTTATCCTGATGTCTTATCACAAATGAGTAATTTCTCCTCTTCCTTTTTTCTCATTTGTAGCTCATGTTGCTCATTGGACATGTAGATGTGGTGCTGAGGGACGTGGTTTATGGGTGGCCTGGCAGTGCTGGCTTAACAGTTGGACTTGATCATCTTGAAGGTCTTTTCCAACCAGAATGAGCCTATGTTTTTATGATTCTGTAATTCTATGATTTATGCAATTCCTGTACTAGCAACTGCAAGGCTGATATTCCTGTGGGCAAAATGGGACCACATGTGCCAGTACACCACAGAGGTGTGTGGAGTATGGGGTTCAGTATGAGTTTGTTGTCTCAGCACCCCACAAAGCTGTCAGACAAAGCTTTAGCATGGTCACTGAAAGAGTCAGGCAAAACCTCAACATCACAAGCTCTTTGCAAAGCTCCTTCTCACTGGTTATGCCTGTTCCTACTGTCAGTCCCAACCATTTCCCTTCTTTCAGGGCAAGTTTTAGTAAGTTCAGCCCAGAACTGTAACACCCCGTGTAACCCTGTGCAGGAGGCTGTAAAACTTCACTCTGAAAGTGTCGCTCTTGCTCCCAAATCTTACCCTGACCTCTCTACATTTACTTTATGTGGGTGTGAAATTCTCTTTGACCTAATTACAATTCCCACTTGGAACTTGGGTGCTGGAAATTTAGATGTAGAGCTGCTGAACAAAAAGTGTGTCAGATGCACTGTGGTCACCTCTGCCTTTCAGAGCAGAGACGAGCAGGCAAGGGCTGCAGGCACTGAGATCATTTTACATTTAAGCCAGTGTTTAATTCTCCTAATAGCCCCAAGATTGCAAGAGCTCAAAGCCTTATACCCAGGATTAAGAGACCTCCTAAATATAGGCTCGTTGTTGCAGGGAAGGTAAAAGAACGACGAAGTCGCTGAGAACTGTTCTTGAAAAACATTTATTTCTGTAATGGGTTTGTAGCACTCCCTCCCAAGCCCCAGTACAACACAGTTTCCCCCCTCACACATAATTCTGGAGGCAATTACCTTTGATGGGAAAAAAAAAAAAAAGCCATACAAAGAAGCCCCCCAAACAAAGAGTCTGGTACCAAACAAACTGTGCCCAGATTATCTCCGGGTGTGTGCTGCTGAAGGTTTCACACCCCAAATGTGAGAGCTGCCGTGCTCCCTTCCTCAGTCACAGCTGCAGGATGGTTCACTGCCTGAAGGCCCCAATGTCTGAAGATGTTGTGTTGAACTTCAGAAAAACCAGAGGGGGGGGACATGGGCAGAGGAGGCTGCTAGGATTCAGCGGCTGCTATTTTTGCAGACATCATTTCAAAAGGAAATCTATGCATTTCAGTTTCACCTCCTGAGCCCCAGCATTAGGAAGGTCAAATACAAACCCAGAGACCAACGTACACAAAATAGTGACCAAGTGTCCACACATTTCTAAGCCCCTCAGTTGACTGTGCCATGATACCTCCAAAAATCAACAAGCCCCCCCACATTCGGATCAAGCTGGATCTTATTTTTAAGAGGGAGGGATAGAGATGCAGCACGTAGCATAGCAACTGTCAAGCAAGGTTTAAGGCAAATTTTTTCCCATTTATGAAGAATCAAATAATTTTTTGTTTGTTCACTTTGTTGTTTAAGCTGTTAACTAACACCTCAGCTGGACATTTAAGCTTAGACAATTCAATCCAAATTCAAATTAAGTCAACTCAAGTTGATCTGAGCCTACGACAAGAAAAAAAATTGTTCCCAAAAATATCAGTCAGAATAAATTGTAAAAAAAAAAAACAACTTAATCAGTATTCAGAACTCCCTCAAAACTTTCTCCCCTCAGAGACCAGGTTGAGCCCAACTACAACACACAGACACGCACGCACAGGAAGAAGGACACAGTGGCAAGCCTCTAGAAACACAATGCTGAACAGGACCAAAGCAGAGCCAAACCTAAGTTCCACAGATGTGAGAGCATGGACAGAGTTATGAGTAAAAAAAAAAAATGGGGAAAAAAAGAAAAACAGAACCCCAGAGAGGGATGTTTTGTAAGGTGGAATGGAAAATAAAAGTCCACTGTATGCAAAGAAAGGGAGTTCTTAGGTGCAGACACAGAAAGCTGGGGGTTTCAGTGGCCTCATCTCTTGGCTGTGTTAGTTGGTTGTGCCTTTCCCCTCCCTTTGAGATCCAGGTGGTGGTGCCAGGAGGTCCCTGCTTTACTCAGTCTGTGCATCATAATTAGCCCCTCCTGCTTTCTTCAGCTCATTCTTGATGTAATCCTCATCCAGCTCTTTGTGGTCACTGATCACAAATTCTTTGGCAAAGTTCTGCAAGAGATAAAGGAGAAGACTGTTAAAAAAGGGAATACTTGTCCCTGTACCTGAGTAAAGGTGGGTTATCCAGCTTCCATGGCTGCATGAGCTGCATCCCCTGATCTACTCTGGTAGGGATGATAAATAGAAAGTAGTGGATGAAGACTAGTGATGGCAAAACCCAAGACTTAACCAGGGAAAATTTTATGTGTCTAATTCTACAGTCACAGTTGCAAGACCAAATCCTACCCTATGCAACAATTCTTCCTAGCAATAAATGCACAGGGCTACATTAAGTCAGGTTTCCTAAGCAGTATGCAAACTAAAAAGCTCACAACTGTTGACTTTCTAACTGCCACTGCCACTCAGCATAATCGTGGGCAAGTCATTAATCCTATCTGTGCTGTTTTTTAGACCCTTCTCCCAAAAAAAAGGAGAACAGTGCTACACCACAGCACACTGCAGTATCATACTTTTCTACTGAAAACCCTGCACGTGTTTTCCCCTTCCTTCCAACCCACAGAGCTTTCAGACAGCACGAAAAACACAAACATCCACTGCACTCTGGGGGGCCAGGGGCAAACTGATGACCAAAACCATGAATTATAATCCCAACAGCCCTGCTGCAATGTCTCAGGAAAGCTCTGGTACTTGGCTCCCTGGGCAGTTTGAGTGCCCTGAAAGGTGACAGAGGCTGCCTGGGAGAATGAGGTGATGCTTTGAGAGAGAAGCAGTCATCTTGTCTGGGTCTCCCTGGCGCTGGAACAGCCTCAGCACGACCGTGGAGGGGGGGTTCTAATTGGTTTCAGACTCAGAGCCATGGGAGAGCTCTTTATTTGGCAGCATCTCAAGGGTCTCCGTTTGGGATCAGAGTCGGCTAAAGGAGGGGGCAGAGAAGGATTCAGCTTGAAAGAGCCTCAGCACCTCTTTTCATGCAGTGGAAGAAGGAAGGGAGAGCAAACCAGCTCCCTCCCCCACGCCAGGCTCCCTGGCTGCAGCTGATCCTGTTTCACACTGTAGGAAATCCTCCAGAGTTGCTGAAGGGGGAAAAATGCTCACAGCAGCTACGAGAGGCCTCATCTGCTCTGCTTCAGTTCAGCAGCAGCTAGACAAACTCCTAAGGATAACAACAGCCTCACAGCACCATTTTGCTCTGTGGTTCAGTGCCTGGCTTCTCTGGTGTGAGGACAGACAGACATTACAGGCACTCGTCCATGTCTTAGCAGAGTTCAGGGAAAAGGGGTAAGAAATTGTTTATTTAGAGAAAAAAAATCGTTTTTTGAAGAGGCAAACTGCTCAAAACATCATATTTGGTCATGCTCACAAGTGTCCTACTTCCAGATCTCCTGTGTGAGATTTTTGCAAAGCAAAGCTCTGGCTAAGACCTAACAAATGATTTTCAACTATTTGATGCTTACCAAGGCATGCTGCCTCTGTGCTTTTTGAGCTGAGCCTTTTCAAGTTCTTTTCTGTGTGCTAACAGGTTTAGCAAATTTTTCCCACCTCAGGAATCAGATTCTCCAGGACTCCCCAAATTGAGTGCTAGCATTTGCCCTGACCAGTGAGAACTGAGGCAGGCCCATGAAATAACTTCTGAGAGGGACTGTATGAAAAACGGGTGCATTTTATCACTGCAGGGAGAATTTCCTTCAATGGCCACTCAGCAGAATCCAGCTGGAGCTGAAATTAGAACTGCAACTGCACCCACGCATGAGCAGAGGGGAACTAAATGACATGTCAAACTCCACAGTTAGCCAGAGGATTTCTGGGTGATGATCTGTGGGCACCAGCCCCTCTCTCATGTCAGTGCCACCGAAACACCTTGGGAGGGTGGAACAATCTCCCCAGGCAGTGGCCAGATGGGTTATGTTCCCAGCCACTCCTAAAGATCCTCTTAGCTGACTGGGCCACCTCTTGTGCCAGATTTGTAGCCTCGTAGTGCAATCTGGGTCACTGCTATTAATAACTCTTTGCTTTATTCCTTTCTGCTGGCAGGTGCTATCAGGGGCTTCTTCAGTTCTTTGCATTGGCTCTTGCCCACCATGATGTCTCATCAAGCCTGGTCCCAAGGGGAGAAGATTCTTTTGGTGAGTTTGCTGCCTGGAACTCCTGATTTCAATATCCTGCTTGACCCTCCTTCAGCCATAGTCTTCCTCATCACTCTGAATTCACTGTTTGAACTACTCCCACATGATTTAATTGGGCCTGATGTCAGCTGGACCAGGCAATAGTTATTATTTGGTGTGACTGTCACCTGTAATTATAAATAACTGGTCATAGCAATCCAGCTCCTGCATGGCACCAGGAAAAACCCTAGCTCCAAACAGCTAACAGCAATGCCACCAGGCATCCAACTTCAGCCAGATTCTGCTCTGCCACCAGATTTCCTGTCTGCCCTTAAAGGCCTGGGCTGGGGCAAGTCCCTGCTTTCTCTTCTCTCACACATACCAGTATCTAAGGCCTCTCAAGGGAACTGCAGAAGTTACAGCTGCCTGAGGCACAGTGCACAAACGATGCTTGGGGCCTTGCTTTACTGACCTGCATCTTCACATCCTCCACTTCCTTCTGTGTTCTCCTCCCCCTGCCCTGAAGCTTTCCACAACCACAGGGAGCCCTGCTGAATTCTAGCCTTTGTATTCACCCCAGAACCACCAGCAGCCTCCAGATAACAGGAACAACGATGCCATTTATCTTTATCACTCTCAGGACACAACATTGTCCACAGCCTCTTTGCTTTGCCTCTCAAATTACTGAGCACTAAAAAGTAAGATTTACTCATGGTTCTTCAATACACCTTTCTAGCACGTGCTTCTCTTTGAGCCTAAGTAGCAGAGGGTCACAATTTTGCAATCCAGCCTCCCGTGTCAATCTCTGTGCAGCATTACAGAAAGAAAAGGCTCCAACCATGCAGGTCAGACTGCAAAAAGTGAGCCTGCATCTCTCCCTGGGAAGTGTGGAATTTGTACAGCAAGCTCAGCCCAGACAACTTTATGGGGGGAAAAAATGGGTGGAGTAGACTTTCCTCCTCTTCCAGGCTCTGAATGTTTAGCATATGGGGCCATAAAATTTCCCTAAGCTGGCCAAGAGAAAATCTGCCTGGTGCAGATACTGTACCATAAGGTCTGCAGAGGCCCTTATAAATCCCAGCATGGGTAGGCCTGAAGCCAGGAGGAAAATCCTTGTATCGTCTGCAGCCACTTGGGTTCTTAGCAGCCAGGGATGGTGCCAGGTAGTTAAGCAGCTTCTTGTGCTTTTATTTACACTGGGGCTTGCAGCAGCCTCCACAGATGTTCAAAATCCTCAGTTCCACTGTGCTTAACGTCACCACTCCCATCCATGGGTCATCTTATTTTCAGTACAGAGGAGATTACATCTCCCATCTTTCTTTTCCAGCATGGTATGAATCCTAGACCTGGGGTGCTGGGGCAGAAAGGACATGTCCTGTGGCTGTAGCAGGGGTGTGTATCTAGCAGGGCTTCTCTGAGTACAAGGAGAGCTATGAAGTGGCAAGTGCCTGTAACAATGCAGTACCTCTGCCCTCTACTCTATGCTGGCTACACCAAGCCTGGTCCTGTTGTTGTCTGTCAGAGTCCAGGCTATCAGCAAAACCCTTCTCTCTACATATACTCCTTGCCAATTTTTACACGGACCAGCAATACAGTACCTCTGCCCTCTACTCTACTCTGGCTACACCAAGCCTGGTCCTGTGGTTGCCTGTCAGAATCCAGGCTATCAACAAAACCCTTCTCTCTACATTTACTCCTTGCCAATTTTTACACGGACCATTTCCAGCCACAGGGAGAAGTAAGCCCAAACCTCTGGCAAAGCAATGTCCCAGCAATGGGAGCTACATTTCAGCTGATCTGCAAATTCTTCCTATCTGTGCTGCTTCCCACTGGAAAAGTCACAGGGCTGGTGTGTCAGACGTGGGGTGATGAGGAGCTGCTTATTCTGGCCTGAGGAAGTTACTTACAGAGTTACCACCTTCTCTAGACTAGGACTAGGAGTTCTTGTAAGTCCATATCCATTTGGTACAGTCATTACAGTAAACCAGAATGGGAAAAACAGTCAAAAAGAACAATTCTGTTTGCCTTTTGAGCAGGATCTCACTCACCCTCCTGAGAAAGATTGTCTCAAAGCCACCGTGACACAGCCATTACCATGAGTTTGATTTCTGACTGCCTCTAACAAAGCCATCAAACCATCTTCTGTGGAGGCCACCCTACTTAACACGAGAAACTTAGTGCAGATACATGGGGTTATAGGAGCTGTATCTGTCCCAGGACCAGCAACAGCAACCCCACAAGTGGGTCCTCCCTGATGAGGTACCAACATCAGCGCAGTGAGAAATCCAGAGGAAAAGGGAAAGGTAACAAAAAAAGATCTGGCCATGAGCTTCAAAGCAGGCACTCAGTAAACTTGTTGATAGCACTAAAGCCAGGCAAATTCCTCACCAAAAATAATGAATAAAATGCCACAAATATTTGCTCACAGGAGCAGGGCTGTTTTACCCTGAATATGATTTAGGCCAATAATAGAGCACATGACTTTGTGGGGGTAGGAGTGCTGAAGAAAACAGAGAAGAGTCAAAATTCATGGAAAATAAAACAAACTGGCAAAAGCTGGGCAGTCTCTTTGCTGAGACAGCCTTGCAGGGGAGTTCAGTCCCATCAGGAAAGAGACCTCCATGCTGCCTAAGGAGGGGTTAAAATCTCCTGGTAGGAAATGCAGTCATGATGGGCCACAAGTTCACAGAGAGGAAGCAACACTCAGAGAAAAACCAAGTCCTGTTGTTGGTTCTTCAGCATTCACATCAAAACCTGAGCACTTTGGCACCAGTTGTTCAGAGGACACAGGTGCTGTGGGTTCTGCAGCACGTGTGGCTCACTGCAAACCTCTGCCAGTTCACCCACAGGCACAGGAGAAGACACACTACTGCTGATGACAACAGAGATGCAGCCTGGTAGTTTAAGTCATCCAGACTTACTGCTTCATAGAGTTCCCCAGCTGTGAAGTTTAGATCATTCTAAGTCTAGGTTTAGACTAGAAATCAGCTCCCAAACCCCTTCAGCTACAGGCTGCAGAGCAGGGGACATTGTGTGCTACTATTTCCCAGCCCTACAGGTCTGTCCTTGGCCTAGACAGAACCTCAGTGGAGAAAAGATGAGGCAGTGCTTCACCTTACCCAGTGTCTCCATTTACACAGGAAGGTCTCTGCACATTAGCACTTGGCTACACCCTCAAGCAGGTACAGAGAAATACTTGTTCCCCATCCTGGCCTTACTTCTAACCTGCTCTCAGCTCAACTCCTTGGACCAAGTCACAGGCTTGATCCCAGATTTCCAGATGAGGTAAAGAGGAAAGGAAGAAAAACAAATGGTTGTGGAAAAAAAAGGACCTGGTATGTTCCTTAAATGCAAAATGCATTTTTCTACAGCCCCAAATAAATACAATAAATACAAAACTCACTTTCTAACAACATGAAATAAGCAATAAGGATAGTTCCAAAATAAGCAAGAAGACCTGACTCAGAGCTAATACCAATCAGGAGAACCGTGGCTGTTTGCACCAGCTGAGATCCATCCCTGTGATTTTACAGTTATTACAGCTAAAAATCAATTGTCCTTTCTTCCCGAGAGGTTTTCTGGCAGCCTCCTCCACTGACTATCAGCACTGCTTCCCAAGCCACCTCCCTGTGGATTTCCCAGCACCTGCTCCCCCTTCCAAGGGAGGAATACAAAAGCCAGGGCAACCCAGCTTTGTCATATTTCATCCTTTTGTTCACCAGCCCATAATCTGCTCTTCAAAAGTTAATATCCCCTATGTTTTCCTTATGGCAGGTGCTTCCAGGAGACCATTACTAATCACCATGTGTGAACAGTCTTTATTCTGCAGAAGCAACACGGTGGGTTTGGCTTGCTAGGCAGTATTCAAGCTGAACATCTTTCACTTTGAGTGTCTCAGTGGAAGAACAACATTTATTGGTGTTCAGCTTTGAGCAGAGCTCAACCATAGCTCATCAATGTGTCTGCAACACAGCAGAGAATATAAAGCAAGGCTTCCCTCACACTGGAGCTTTGGGCTTAAATAAAGAGCCACAGTTAGCTTTTGCAAATGTTACAGCAAACAACCAACCATGTTTTTCTACCTTTGGCTCACATCTCAAACAGTCTGAGATCAGAAGCAGTGAGGTGACTGGGAATGTACTTGAAGGTCAAGAAAACTAGTAAGAGTGAAATAGCTCTGGGATAAATTCCCTCCACTAAATTTCAGTTGGACTTTCTTGTCCTCTCTTGTTTTGACAGATTATGTGCAAGGTTACGTGCATGCAAAGAAGAAAATAGTTCTGCTTTTATCCCACTCCACTCAGAGGGATTCAGTTGCACACGTAGAACTATTCAAAATAGTTGCCAAGAGAATTTCTTATGGGAAGGAAATGACATCTGAAACCCTTCAGAAGTGCTTTGGAGCAGGTTGTAGACATGGTTGCTCAATAGAAGTGTATTAAGGCCAAGTTGTATTGTTTTCATATTGTAGTACAGATTAATTGGAACATGAAAGCTTTTAAGTAACAGCCAAGAGCAGTTAACATTCCACCCAATTATTAACTCATACAGACTTCTAATCAACAATGAAACAAGGGAAATTGCAAATTATATGGAACAGACCTGAGGGACAGATCTTAGAACAGCATTCAGGAATGCTCTCCAACTCAACAGGAATAAATTGTCTAAACATCTTTTTTTAAAAAAATCTTGGGTTTAGTGACTCTTCTATGAGTCAGTCACTAGCACTCTATAATTTCATCTCCAGCTACAATTGCCCAGGTTCAGCTGCTTCACGTGAACAGAGCTTTGCTTTCCTCTCTCTCAGGTGTCATTAGGGAAGTTGCTTTTCATTGGGTCCCTCTGCATAGTTGTCATTTTGAAATATTTAGCTCCAGTGCTGATCTTCTGGAAGGATTAAGAATTTATTATATTCTTCATACTTCTCATCTAAATATAATCTTCTATATCAAACTACCAGTGAACTGAGGGGGATTTCATTCTTACCTTTCATATTGTCTTATTGGGAGTTTTCTTTACCTAGGCAAGAACACAATTTCTGAGGGACATTATTTCAGGGGTCAGCCTGCTCTCTAAGCACATAAGAAAAGACCATTTCATAGGTGTTGGAGAGGTGGCCCAAGGTTTAGCTGAAAGAGCTAATCTTGCTTTGAATACCTCTGCAGAGGAAACATGGTCACCATTAGCATCTTCTCTGTTAAAGTCAGCTTTCTGGCAGCAGTTCTTTTCAGCCTTCCTTAATTCCCTTCTCTCATGGCTGTTGCTTGTTTCCACTCACTTAGGCTGAGCTTGGATCCCACAGTGAGTCCAGCCCAGAGCACCCAATTTGGGTGAAGCCCTTCCAAGGTGTGTACTAAGCACATTTCTCCTTTTCCCTGATACGCCCAATGCCAAACAGAAGACTATTCAAATCTAGTTAGCTATTAAGAGCTGTTGGTTAATTGGTAGAGATAGGGACTTCAGACTTTAGCTGATTAGGTCCATGAATTCATTGTGCAGACACAAAAGGCCTCAAGAGAAGTTTAAACAAGGGCGTGGGTTTTTCTGTTTAATTTTACCTACTTAACTTAATATTGCCTTGTTCCCTACCATTCCATATTATATTATTTCCATATCAAGGAAGGAGATGGGAAATATCTTAATGGTGGTGAGTTGGGGAGGGCAGATATTCCCAGCTCATTAAATAGTTAAGACTGCCTAAAGCTCAGAGATGCTTCTTTATGCCTGAGTGCTCAAAGGGCAGATGTTAAGTCTTCCTAGCAGGAAGACAGGCAATAGGAAACTGTCTTCTTTTTAAAGGATTAACTCCTAGGTTGAAGGATGATCCAATCCTTCCCCCTCTCTCCCCTCCCGCTGTTTGTGGAGCGAAAAGCGCCAAGAGCAGGTGGTTAGAAGCAGAAGGAAGAGGTTACCTGTACTACTTCTTTGACCAGGGTCTTGTCGGTCCCAGTTTTGGCTCTCTGCAGGCCACTGACATCCTCCCCAATCCAAGTGATGAGGGCAAACTTGACTCGCTTGCTCATGGCATCCCCGGTGGTGAATCGGACAAAGCCGAACAATCGCACGTCATCTGGAGAGACAGAGCAGAGAGGATACAATGATTAAACCCAGAAACATCCCTGCCTTGCCATTTTCCAGGGGGAGGCTGTTGCTCTCAGCTTAAAGATCAAGCCCAGGCACTGATCCTGTGCTACAATAACGTGGCTCAGGATTAACAGGGCGATACAGGGGCTTTGCTCATGCCCTTTGCTTGCAAGGTGCACTTTGCCAGTGTTAGGTCTGCCTCTCCCTGGGGTGCTCTGAGTTACTGGGAGGAAACTGGTGGTGCCTCCCACCCCACCCCACGTTAGTGTGCTGCTAGTGAGTCTGGAAATGGCTAAAATACAGTCAACGAGTAATTCAAGAGCACAGAGCTAGCCCCAGTTACACGTTCAGCCAGATCATTCATCTGCAGGTCACTGGCCAAGAAGGGAAGAAAGTGATTTCCCAGTGTCTCTTTCTTTCTTACAGGATAGCAGGATCTTTAAGGTCCCTTCCAACCCAAAACACTCTGTGATTTGGGTCACATTTTATAACACATACCCAGCAACTGGTCACTGTGCAAATTTGATCCTTTCCCCACCTTCCCTTCAGCCACATTTCTGGCTCACTTGACGCAGGAGTTTACAAGAAAGAGGGGAGAAGGAGGAGCAAAAGAAGAATCTGCAATTACTTCCCCAGATTTGTTTTTCTTCTGAAGCCCTGTAGAGAAAGGCCTTGGCTTTCAGAACTGTTCAGATCTTTGTTTCACAGCTGGCTTTTGCTGTATCTCTCCAGACTGCACTTCTTTAGTCTGGCCATGTGTGTAAAAACCTTGTCAGCTCCTTGTCTCGGAGAGTTCGTTCCTCCCTTGCAGGGTGACTCATAAACCAAGGCAGTTGGACGCCTTCACGATCACAGGCACTCAGCAAGCGTGTGACACCATCCACTCACATCCCCAGCCCTGGTGGCATGCGTGACGTTGGAGCTTTCAGCCAGGACTGGCAGAAAAGCAGAGCAGATGGACAGTTGTGCAATCGTGGAATATACCTAATCATAGCTACTTCATCTGTTATAGGTCACTCAAGACCTTCTAAATCAAATGAGACGACTCAAAATAGAAGAGCAAACTTGCTGCTGGAAAAGAACCGTGCTAATCCTGGTTACACTTGTTGTGACCAGTTCAACATGCTTTAGAGTGGGTTATTTGCTGTCCTGACTACTGCCAGGTGAGAACACAGGCTCCAGGTGTAGCAACGTTTGCCAACATCCTCATCCTTGGATATGTTACAGCACGCTCCAGGGATGGTCAGGACAGCCTCAGGAGCTCCAGGGTAAGGGTAGAAGCAACTCTAAATTGCTCATCCCTAAAAATTTAAGCTGCTAAAAATCATTGCAAAAAAAAAGAGGGATTTTCTCTGGAATCTGACAGATCTCAGAGCTTCCTTAACGTTTTGTTTTGCCAAAGTGTGAATAAAGACAACTTCCTCTTGATAAAAGATAAGTTTTTAAGTCTGAAACCCCCACCCCATGCTCTCCCTGGTTTGTTCTCTGTATTTTTTTGCCACTGATAGAGGACTACGGGGGAAAAGGGAAAATGTATGTGGGGAGTGTGAGCCAGTCCAGTGTTGAAAACAAACCTCTCTGAAGATTTCAAACTTGAAACAAAGAGAAGGGAAGAGATCTTACTCAGAAATAAAATCAACATGTGTATCTGGGAGGAAACCATGCATCTCAAAGGTGCAGGCAAACAAAACTTCTCTCTCAGGTAACCTATTCCTGGCAAGCACAAGAAACACACGGAGAGACTCCTGTTTCTGCCAGTAAATCCTCTTCCCAAGATTGATTAGAAGCATAAACAAACCGACAGCCAGGAAATACCCAAGGTGAAGAGAGACAGTAAATCCCCTAACGTTACTATTAACAGTTCTGTGAAAAAACCTTGCTTTCCCAGATCTGCCAGTAAAGGAGGCCACACTCTGCTAAGAATTGTGCTGGGGTTCCTATGGGAACACAGGGCTGGAAGGCACTTTAATGTCACCAAGTCCTGGCCCCCACTACACTGTAACTGTGCCACAGCCCTTCCCATGGACCCGTCTCTTTCCACCTTGAGTATGTAGGTTTTTCATCCCTGCCCCTTCCACCAAAGGCTGTTACAGATTTCAAAAATGCCCCTTTATAATGAATATAATGCCAAAATATAGTGAAGGTGAAGAATTCCAAATTTTTCTTCAGTGCTTTTTCATAGCAGTGTGGAAAGGAGGTTGAAGGAATTTATCTGTCAGCATGAACTTTAACTGGACATGAACCCACAGCTCCCTGGCAGCAGCAGGATTTCCTTCTCAGCAGAAGAGTTTGAGTGTTTTTCTGTGCTGTCTGAAAGCAGCCTCATCCGTGGCACTGCACAGAGCCAAACCCAGCAATTTCTCATGGGCTTTGAGCTGCTAGATCACCTACTAAGTGACTATGAGCAACTCTTACTTCATCATGTTAAGTCCCAATAAGCTTACTGAGCACCTGAGGTTAGATGTGGGGCTCTGAGTCACCATTTTGGGCAGGATTTACTTGGGGGTGGTTTACCTTTGGGGCTTGAAGGGTTACACCCGAGCTGTGTGCTTTCTCCTCCTGCCTCCCCGTGGAGGTTGTACCCCCAGAGGAGGCAGAGCAGGCTCTTCAGCTGCCACAACGTTCAGCCCAGTGTGTTTAATATAAACTCCCAATACGTGATGCTTTAACTTGATGTGCCAGTCTGTGAAGTGCAGAAGCTGAGGAGCACTTCAGCAGCTGCAGAGAAAGCCAAGAGGGAATGTGAATTGGAGCCCTTAGCAATTAGCATGTCTCTTTTCCTAAAAGGACAACAGGGACAGCCGTGGAGGGTTCAGCCTGGATATGAGCCCTGCCAACTGCAGGTCAAAATCCCTGAGCAGAAGTGGTTGAGTTTCACAATTAGTCTGAAGCATGTTCAGAGTGATAACGGGATCAAAATGCAAGTTCTTTTATGCTCCCAGATTTCCTCTTTCACAGTTAATTAGTTCTGTCCTGCCAGATCCCCTCGCTGCTGTGCTGGAATCCTCAATGCCATCAGTGCCAACAACTCGAGAAATCTCGAGGCATTAATATCCACACACACCTCCCCACAAGCCCTTTGCACACAGACACACTCAGGGTGGTTTTAGGAATTTGCTGGGTGCTTGGGGGAGTGTAACAAATCCTAGGGAGATGGCAGATGTCCCTCTGAAAGAGGAAATCCTGCCCAGCTCTGCACAACCACCTTCCTAGTCACTAAGCCATGAATTTCAGGGCAAAGAGAAGCAAATACTAGGTCTGGGTAGAATGGAAATAACAGCTTTATTTGAGGTGATCTCACAAGTTATAAACAGTAGGCATTAACAACATTAATTCCTACTAATATCACTACTCCTTTAACTACTGTTGTACAGCCTGACAATGGGCCTCCACAAACAATGAGAAGTACAACCAATGCCTTAATGGCCATCACTTAGGAATTTTCTCCAAATCATTTATTTATCAGTAGGAAGGATTTTCCAAATATACTGATTAAGCTTCCCTTGGCTGTCAACAAAGCTTGATGCCAAGCTGCAGAGATTTCCCTGATGGTATTCACCTCTTTTTCATCCACTCAAACCCTTTGGTTCAGCTGAACTAAAAAATTCCCCATCAGATTAAAATGCACTGACTCATCAGGGGGAGATAATAGCTGCAGGAAAGAAACACACTGTCAAAAGCTTCATGGTTCTGAGTCTTAGGGCTCTGCGTGGCCAAGGTAAGGCCACCACTGCTCCCAGCTTCACCTGCCTGCTCAGTCAAGGTCACGTCCAGCAAGGCAGCCCATGGAATGATCTGCCTTTGTGTTCTGCCCAGCAATGAATTACTGATGGCACGTGACAGCTTTCATGAAGGATTTATGTTGTTTGTTTTAATTAGGTTCATTTTAGATTAATTTGTCAATTTTCTGCCTCTTCAGTCACCCCTGTGGTCCCGTGGCTAGAAGTGCAGACAGAAAACCTTCCCTACCTCTCACTAGACTGGTTTTCCACTCTTTAACCCCATCCTGAAGCCTGTCTATCTCTGAGGCACTGCTGCTGCCCTGCACCATGCAGACATGGCCATTACATCACCTAAACCAGCTACTGAATGTCTGAGCTCAGGACCAGAAGCGCAGCTGCAGCTGGGGCACCAAACCTTTTCCATGCAACCCCAGGCTGCCCGACGTGAGTACAGGGTGCTTGGGACACAAGGGCATGGGGAGGATCATCCCACACGACTTCTCTGGCTTTCTCTGGTCCAGGGAAGCCACCAGCAGCATTGCATCAGAATGAGTTGCTGCTACCCCAGTGACTGTGGTTCTGTAGTAGTCTCTCTCCTGCCCTGGGCATATACAGGGGGGCAGAGTGGGAGGAAACAGGGGATCCAGCTTGTCTTTGTTCCCCTTCCCTGAAGGAAGGACTGGTTGCATCAGTTGTCTGAAAGTAAGGGCCAAGCAGGCCCCAAAACAAAGTGAATTCAAAAGATGTAACCCTCTTACCTGCTCTTACACCTAGCACAGGCTGGTGAAATGCAGCCCCCCAGCCATGCTATTTGAATTAGGCATCACAAAACCAAACAGCATGCAAAGAGGTGCTATTTCCAAGCAGAACTCAACCTGATGAATTAATCCCACAAAAACGAACGAGAATATTCCCTAAATCAACCTCCTGTCCTTTGCAAGGGACAGTCTAAGCCACAGCTCCAGCTGGCAGCCAGGAGATCGCTGTCAAACAGGGGCCCCTTCAGCTGACCCCCCACCAGCACCTTCACAGCGAGCAGGGGGGCACAGGGGCAATGTGACATTCCCAGCAGCCACCCACAGCCCCAGGTCTTCCTTCGGACACTAAGGGAAAGCAGGCAAGAGGGGCCTTAAAGAGGAAAAACAAAAGCAGTAGGAGACTGATTTACAAAGCCCATTTTAGCAACTTAAGATGTAGCCAAATACAGATAAGCACCTATCTCATTATACGTCCTCGAGCATTTTTACAAATCTTTCCTACAACCCAAGGTGCCAACGTAATCTTGGTGATCTCTCAACTCTGAGCTCCTAAATTTTATATGCAGGCCAGGCTTTATACAATAATTGTTATAAGCCCCAAAGAGCTTGCATGTGTCTTAGGAGCCAATTCTATTTCTGTTTTCTTCCTAATATTTATGTCAACCAGAAATTATTTTATAGGGGCATTTATTCCAGACCAAAGATTTTCAGTTCTTCCTTGTGCTGAATGCACAGCGTGGTTTTGGTTTGATCTTTTCAGACACTCGAATAACTCTCCCGTTTCATGCTGTCACTGCAATTATTTATCTGGACTGAGGCTTGCCAAATAAAAGGCTCATTCTTTCTTTTGTCAGAGATGCACTGAAAAACAACCGTTCACATGTGGCATGGGGGGGAAGCAGAGTCTTCCGACCTCCCCGTGGCCGGCTGGCAGGATATGCACTGTACAGAAAGGAAAGCAAGGCCCAGACAGAGACAAAGCAACGCTCTGCTGCCTCGGGATGCAGGAGCAGAGACAAGCTGGCCCGGGCAGTCAGCTGGGGCTGACACACACAAAAGTTGAAGCGGATGTTTTTGACCCGACTTTGAGTTCAGGATCTCAGTTGTATGTCATTCTACTCAGCTACAGCATCACCAGCCAAGTGAGGAGAGTCTGAAATTAAAAACAACAACAAAAACCCCACAAGAGCTTTCACATCCTTCCGTACAATAACCTTCAGCTGTTATCTGTGTTTCTGGCTTCGAACCCACCAGCTCAGCTGTTTTTTGTAGCAGTGTACCGATGGCACGTCCTACTAAACACCAAATTAATGCTGTGCCTGGATCCACGCCATCTGCAGAGGCAAGAGCTGGAACTGTGAAGTAAAATGGATCAAAAGCCTTGAATTAAGTCCTTGTTTAATGCAGAGGTAATCTGTGCTGTTAAGCCCAACCAGAACAGTCCTTAGCCAGGAGACAACAGGGGGTGTCTACACTGTGTGTTTGATGACCCTGACACAACTAACGTCCTCAGCTTTGGTCTCCAGACTCCTCGTGTCAGACAAAGCCCAGTATGGCCATGTATGGTGGTCATCACACAGGACTGCAAGGGGAAGTACCACCAGAAGCCACCTCCTAATCATATAAGGACTTCACTGTGCCAGTATTTTAAACCAGCCTCCTTGACTTGACTTTATGCTAGGCTGGTGGAGAGGAGTTCAGAACATCTGGGGCTGGTCTTTAGAGGACAGAGAGGACTACTTCCTGAGACTAAAGCAATGTCTGCTACCTCCCAGGAAAAGTGTTTGTGTCGTCTTGTGGCCTGAACAGACCTTGACAGCAACTGGTATGCAGAAGTCCAGGGTTCAGGCTGTGTTTGCAGCATGATCCTGGGACCTTGAACAAAAGGGCACTGAAGAAGCTTTTCTTCCTTTAAGAGCTGCAATTGCTGTCCCCAAACAACAGAGTGGGAAAAGGATGATAGGTTGATGATACAGTTCCTTAAACTTCTCTGCTAATCCACAAAGCTTAGTAAAGGGCTTAGGAAGAAGAAGCCTCCACCCCAGGCTGTGGGACACGAAGGTATCTGAGAGTGATGAAACCTGCCCAAGGCAGAGCGGGTGCAGCAGCAGGTCCAGGCTCAGCCTACAGAGCATTGCTGGAGGTTTGCAGAGAGCTGGTTCCTAACATCCTCTTTTGAAACTGCTACTTTTTATACTGCTACTTAAAAGACCAACTTTGTTTTTCTTTGTCCTCAACCACTCTCATTCCCCGAGGAGCTTTGCAGACTCAGTAATGGGTTGGGCCGTGGTCTGTATGAAAAGGGTCATGTACGGGGGAAGAAAAAGCAAAACCACAACCCTGCTCCCAACAGCCCCCTCCAGCCTGTGCTAACCTCTGTCACTGCACAAGGCAGGATATCCACCACAGGCAAACGGCTTCCAAAGTGGTACAAAAGACCTTCTTGGTCTGAGAGCCACATGAGTTCATGCACACTGACACAGCCTGCTCTGTAATTTAAGGCCCTGGAGGGAAGCAATATGTACCACATGCTGAAGGGCTTTTAGTAAGAATGGTTATTAAAGAAAGTGGGGGACTCGGATGTTTCCCACTCAGAACAGCACTGAAATAGATGGTGCAGAAAGCAGAACAGAGCAAGAGCTGACGGAGGGGCCTGGTGACACTTTGCACGCTGAGGGTTTCAATTCCAGCTCCTGCTCTCACCTCCAACCACCAAATTATGCTCAGCTTCTACCAGAGGCAGTCGCAGTACTTTGTGGTTTTCAGGGCAGTGTTTCTCACAAAACAGGAATTCAAAACAAGGAAGGAAGTTTATTCTGATGCCAGTTTTTTTAATCTTTTAATCACAGTTTCCAAAGCTGTTTGCATTGACAGTAGCTCTTCTTCCTTCCAGCAAAACGTAGAAGGAGATGGGGTATGGAGCAGGAGAGATGTGGCAATAGGAAGGAATAATATTTAGCAGCTCTTCCCATCCCTTCCAACTCTTTTTTACCAACTTTGTTTCAGTAGAAATATTTGAACCAGCCCTACTTCATGGTAACACTTGGCACTCTTCTTCCAGATGGAAAAGAGAGCTCTAACTTCACTGCTGGCACGAGCCTCCTTTTCTGACCACGTCCACAGTGGTCCAGGGGAAGGGCTGCTGGACAGATGGAGGCACTGAAACGTGCATCTCTGGCTTCCCCAGCTGCTGCACCGTGACTCGTGGGTGGAGGAAGAGCCTTTCCAGCACTGAGACCAGAACTCAGTACCTGAGGTTGCCTAGCTCTTTAAGCCTCCAACAGCTGTGCTCCAGAGGTAGGCTTAAGGATAACCTCTTGCCCCTGGTCTGCCAAGGAGCAGCCCGTACCACGGCACATGAGATGGAATAGTGAAAGATGGAAAAAGGAAAGGGAGCCATGGCCCAGCTCTAAGGGATTTAGTTCCACATTAAAGGCTAACAATAGGCCGCAGTCTACCCACAGATGCCCTTTATTTAACTCTTTCCTTGCCCTGCTTATGCCCAAAATATGCAAAATTTCCTTTTTTTTTTTCACTGTAAAAATGCTTTGGTATTGGAGCCAGCTTGGCACTTGGCTGGTATAAAGCAAGGTTTCCTTAAACTCTGCCTGGTTTAATATCCTGTTTATAAATAAGGGTTTGTCACATGTGAATGATGGCAAGAAAACAAAACTTGCCATTTCCAAAGTGCAGTGTGTGCCTCCAGCAGTTGTTACACTCATCCTACCCAGCCCAGTCGCTGCCTGCTCTCTGCCAAAGCCCCTCTGCCTGCCTAGCCTCTGGATAAAAGTATTGCCTTTGCTACAGAAGGGAAGGTAGGAACTGTTCTTGAGAGGCTGCCACTGCAGACAAAACATTAAAAATCAGATAAAATAAGGCAAGGTCTCTTTAAAAGCAAGGAACAAGAATAAACGGGGAAGGTTCCTCTGCAAGCCTCAGATGTCTGGGGACGCAGGAGATGCTCAGTTATCTTGGTCACAAGAGGAGACAGAGAACGTGGCACTCAGAGAGTGAAGCCACTGACCTCCCAAGAAAACAACTAGCCCTTAAGATAATGTTGGCGTGAACTCCAGAAGTGCTGAGCCCTGGATTTCCCCCTATGCCAGGTTATTGCTTTTATCCCTGTGTTGCCATTAAAGAAGAGTTGAGCGGGAAGGAGTTTTTGCAGTCCAGGATGTCAGCTCTTCTGGCATCAACTACAAGAGGATCCTTTCCAGTTCTGAGTATTTTCCCTGCAAAGGTCTCCAGAACAGCTGGAAACGAGTGGCTGTGTTAAATCCCAGTAAGACCCCACTGCAAATGTCATAGCAGAGCAGTCTGAACAGCCTTGATTTAGTGGCTGCATTCCAAGGGCTAAAATGCACTTTTCTGCTGTGATATTTATTGATTGATGAGATGGTCCTGCTCTCATTTAAGTTACTGGGAGTTCTTCCCTTCAACTCAGTAAAATAGAGCCAAGCCCTAGGACTTAACAGACCAATCTGGACAGTCACTGGTGTTTCAGTAGCTGTGGAACTCTCACTACAGTGCCTCTAGGACTTGCCCCTCCTTGAGAAGGGAGAGACTTCTCAATACACAGTTCCTTCACAGTGCAGACACCAAACTCTAAAAATGCAGGTTAACCAGAGTACTTGATTGTGGAGTAACTAGGTGAGTGAGGAAGACTTTGTTATAGCCCAGGATTAGTTCCAAATGCTTCACATCTGTCCCTTGGAGACATTGTTAAATGGCAGCCAAGATAGGAGGCAAAGCTAAACAATTCCCCCCTGGAAGTTATTCTGAGAAAAATCAAAGCCTGCTTTGCTAAAATACGTCAAAAGTTAAGATCAGATGAAGTGAAATAGTCCTCACTTCACTTCCATTTCCCCCAAGCTTTGTTTCTCCTGTTAATGTTCTACCACCGACAGTTAAACAATCAACTGCCACGTTTAAACCTACAGCCGCAACTGTTGCGGTTGTGCAACACCACGGGAGCGATTGTTTTCGGGGCTCTATTGTTCCAGCCACATAACCACTCTCTGCTCGGGTTTCATGTTCTTAAAAAATCCGAGCAAACCTTCTAACCGTAGTTACTTCAGTGCTCTGGATACAATTGGCAGGCGGACTTTGTTGCAGAACGATCTGTGTGACTGCATCACTTCAGCCACACAAACAGTCCTGGCTGTGCAACGGCAATGCTACACAAGGAGGCTGTTGCTAATCAAGCGTTTTGTCTTGTTTATAACCACGAAGTCATGAAAAATTGGGCAAAAAGGAGGAAAAAAAAACCCCCAAAAGACCTTAAGTCTAGGGGTGAGACAAAGGACTGGCTGGACTATGGACTTCAGTGAGTCACGAACCCGATCATGCAGGACAGGGCAGCACTGATTCCAGTTTACCCAAGTTTTCTCCCATCCCTTCCCCCCTTGCACCGGGCAGCAAGAAACCCAGTAAGGTGCCAAAGGAATCAAGATGGAGCTTACCTGTACACTTCCTTTTAAAGGTTTCATAGTCTACCCCTTGGTCTCCAGGGACGATTGTAGAGCCGTTGTATTTAAAAGTCACCCTTTGGGAAGGGGAAAAGAGAAGGGGAATAATACAGTTAACAGTCAGCCTTTGGGAAGGGGGAAAGGGAAGGGGAATAGTACAGCTAGCAGTCACCTTTTGGGATGGGGGAAAGGGAAGGGGACTAGTACAGCTAACAGCCACCCTTTGGGAAGGGAAAAGAGGAGGGGGAGAAGAACGTACCGTAAATAACATCCTCCAGGAAGGGGTAAGAGGAGAAGGGGAATAAACTAGGTCTACAAAAGTCACCCTTTCGGGAGGGGGGAGACAAGAGGAGCACCGCCGCCTGTCCGGGGCTGCCGGCGGCCACCTACCAGTTCACCTCGGTGGCATCGTCCCTGACGAGGTTGTACGCCTCCCTGCACGCCTCCTTGTCGATTTTGGTGGCCATGGGGGCGACCGGCCGCGCCGGGGCCGGGAGGGGAGAGGGGAGGGAGGGGGAAAGCGCGGAGCGGCGCGGAG